ATGCTGATGATGATGATGAAGCTGAGGATGCTGATTCTGTTGATGATGCTGATGATGCTGGTGCTGACTGTTGTTGTTGTTGTTGTTGTTTATGATCATGATGCTGCTGATGATTCGGACGACGATTGTGATTATGATGATAATGATGAAGATGAAGATGAAGATGATGATGATGCTGATGATGATGATGATGATGATGATGATGATGATGATGCTGAGTCTGATGATGATGATGATGATGATGATGATGATGATGATCATGATGACGCCAATCCTGATGATGATGCTGATGCTGATGCTGATGCTGATGCTGATGATGATGCTGAGGCGAGAGCCACATTTTGGAAGCGACCCGACCTCCATCCGTGAAGCTCCTGCATTTTCAAAGTAATGTGCGCGGCGCTAACGCGAGAGCCACGTTTTGGAAGCGGCCCGAGCTTCAGGATCATACACGGTGCGGAAGTTTTAGGCGAAATGCCGAGCCTGCCTTTCCGATTGGCCTCTGGGTGTGACATAAGGCAAAGGAATGGAGGATGAGGGGGAGAAGGAGGAGGAGGACGATGATGATGCTGATGATGATGATGATGATGATGATGATGATGATGATGCTGATGCTGATGCTGATGCTCATGCTCATGCTGATGCTGATGATCATGCTGATGCTGATGCTGATGCTGGTGCTGGTGCTGGTGCTGATGACGGTGGTGGTACTGATACTGGTTTTGATACTGATGCTGATACTGAACATGCAGATGGAGATGGTGACGGTGATGGTGATGGTGATAATTAGGAGGAGGAGGAGGTAGAGGTGGAGGAGGAGGAGGAGGAGGAGGAGAGAGGAGGAGGAGGAAGAGGAGAGGAGTAGGAGGAGGAGGAGGAGGAGAAGGAGGAGGAGGAGGAGTGGACGTAGGAGGATAGGAGGATGAGGAGGAGGAGGGGAAGGAGGAGGGGGAGGAGGGGGGAGTTTAAGGAGGGGGAGGAGGAGGAGGAGGAGGAGGAGAAATAGTACTAATAAGGAGGAGGCGGTGAAGAGGAGGAATACTACTAATAGTTCATAATCGATATATATATATATATATATATATATATATATATATATACATGCATCTATATAAGTATGATTCTGATATCACTACTACTACTACTAAGAATGATATGATAATTCTGCAACTAGGAAGACGACTGCGAATCCAAACAATGCTACTAAGAAGAGGAGGCGTAGGATGATGAGGAGGGGGATAGGGGGTTGACGATTTGAGTAATCGCAGGATCCGTCAACGATGTTGCCGTACACCCTCCCCCTCCCAGCGCCTTTTCTTCATAATTCTCTACAACTCTTATTGCTCAATCCAGGAAGAGGCCCCTCGAAAATCCAGCGCGCAATGGTCAAAGCCTTTCAGGCGAGATCCCAGCTTTTTTGTTAATAGCTGCCTTGCATCTTCCGGCTTGTAGTCAGGACGGCAAAAGAATATGTTAAGGTATGATCATGCAAGTCGGCGATGTGTCTGGCGATACTGCCGTTTTGAACAGACGGCCCCTGTCCGTGTGCTTGCTGCGCAAATTTGCACGGTTGGCCAATTGTCGTCCGCCTCTCGATGATGTTAGGTCCGTGGATATGACTCCTGTTCTCCAGCGCGAGTATCGGGCCAGCTCTGCTCCCGACCACCGATCTGAAACCGTATAGTGTATGACATCAGATAACTTTTGTATCTCAGCACGATGAGTTTGAGTGAAGTATTACGTTATTCTGATCTGTGTTCAGACGACCGCCCAAAGGCGGGTCAAGGGGCCCCTCCTGAGCACAAGCGGCAGCGGAGCAGTAGGCAATGCACACATGCACAAGTGGGTTTATACACCTCCAGAAATCGTTGTTGCCTCTGCTATCCGCTTCAGGCTCGAAAGAGGGCCATTCAATCGCCTCGCTGCCAAAATGGCGAGTCATATTACAGTACCGTCTGTCACATCTGGTACTGCAGAAAATTTGTAACTTTGGGCTCCCGGTCACCAGGTCTCTGAAACACTTCTTGCTCGCAACCGCGGCCTCGGCCGCTCAGAAGTAGAAGTCGCCCTCGGTCAGGGGGCCCGCTGTAGACCAGATCCCGATAGTTTTCTTCACCACTGTTTGCTGCATCTGGTAGTGAGATCTCCGCGTGCTCGAACGCGTCTCGGATGAGGCTGGCGAAATCTCGCTTGTTCGTCTCGGGTCGGATGAGGCCTCTCTCCTTCCGCTTCTTGGCGCTGAGGTGCTCCTCGTCGTCGACTAGGGCCCAGCATCCTGTCCTCATGTATAGTTCAATTGGCCCGAAGGCCGCTGCCTTTGTAAGACTGTCGCTTAGGTTCGCCTCGGACCGGCACCATATGACGATCAGTCCAGTCTTCTCGATGTACCCTTCGCAAGCTAGCAGCTCCAGGGCTGTCTGCTTCTCTGCCAAAGTCTGCATCTGTACCTGCTTCGCCAGACAATCATAGATGATCTTCGTGTCCACGCAAAGGCATGCATTGACATTCCTGGCCTGGGTCACAGCTCCCGGCCTGCACTAGCCGTGCCAGCCACCACGTCCGAGACGAATCCGTTCAGTTCGGCCCACATCAGGCGCACCATAAACAGCTCGTCCTCCGCGACTGTCAGAGCTTGGACCTCGGCCGCCAGCGAGCTCCTGGCGGCCACCCGCTGTAGCTTGCCATTGCGATATGATGCCCAGCCGATAGGAGTCTGCTTGTTCTTTAAAGTCTCGTCCGGGGCGATGCCGATCACGTACCCGCCAGCAGATAGGCCGTCTGGACGGTTCGCCCAGGCTGCGTCGCTCCAACCCACGAGCATGGTTGTACCCTTGAACAGCTCGACGCTCAGCTTGTAGTTCGGGTCCATCTTGATCTGGCGAATCATCTTATTGATGCCGAAGAGCGTCTCGATGGTCGCCGTTGGTCCTCTGCTCTGGAAGACTGAGCACTGCGTTTGGTACCGTGGTATCGTCTGTGTCACTACCCACTGGATCTCGCCCAGAGCTCCTCTCAGTAGTGTCATCTCGCGGTCCGTGAGCTTTTGTTGCGCTGCTTTCGGCGATCGCTGGGAATGTCGATCTCCTTGATGTTGTCGATGAACTCCTTTTGATGGATCGTGGTCCGCCCGTTTAGGTCCTGGCTGACCGCCAGCCCAGCCGGCTTGAACTGTCCTTCTTCCCTGGGGATCCAGCGAAGTGCCTTTTGGAACTTCATCTCCACGTCCATCCAGCGTCGACTGCCCTCACCTGTGATCAGGAAGCCGTCCGCTTGCTATGTTGGCTAGCGAAGTTGGACATACTCTATTGTTGAGTTGTGATGGCTTGCTGGTGGCAATATGAAGTTGGTCATGCCCAATTGCTGAGGTATGCTGGCTTATACCTGTTCTTTTCACCAAGGACGTGTGCCAAGGTGAACTGCACCAGAGCAGAGAGAGAGAGAGAGAGGAAGCCGTCCGCCTGCGCGCCGACGGCGCAGTGCGCGCCCTTCTCGTCGCTGCGCACCTGGGCGCGTGGATCTGATGCGCCTCTCCGTTCTCCAGGCTGCTCCATCGGTGCGTCCGCGCCCTCGTTCTACCACTTGGGTGCTTGACGCAGTCCCTGTGCTGCCTTCCTTAAGCGCGCGAGTGTCCCGACGGGTAGCCCGAGCTTCTCCGCCATTTTCCCGTTCGCCGTGATGACGTCTGGCTTTTCGCCTGGCGTCCCCTTGCCCTGCAAGAGCGCTGCCGTGACGTCGCCCTTCTTGAGTTTCCAGATTTCTGTTGTGGCCGGCTGAAATATTAGGCTTCTGGCCGTTCTCGTAGTCGATGATGCCCAGTGGTTCTTCACCGAGGCGTGGATTTTGATATCCAACAGCCACAAGTCTGGCCTTGGCTCGGCTATTTGCTGTCGTCTCGTCCTTTTTCCAGGTCAACGCCCATCTCGTCTTCAGGACGTCCGCGGGATTCGTCTTCGTGTGAATTGGAAGCCATTCGAGCTTGTCGTTCGCGGTCCAGTCGAGCACCTTCACGAGCATCGCCGCCTTCATCCGGTCCTTCTGCTCGCTGGTCATATTCTTGACGCTGGCTTCCGTCCTGCCTTTCTTCAGCGCCTTAGGCACGTAGCGCGCTGGTTGGCTGACTATCTTCTGCGCGTTCGCCCGGTCCGCGACCTCGAATGCCACCTTAGTGATGTCCGTCCCCACGTGGATTGGAGATTTTTTTCTCCAGCTCGGTCGCCGCGTACGCGCTCATGTCAAACTTGTTCCACTCGAGCTGGTCCCAGTCTGTGACCTTGTCGTCCGTGAAGACCCCGCATGCCTTAAGCGAGGGTCTGAACGGTGTTTTCATCCGTATCCTTCCCCGTGTCTTCGCGAAGAGGTCGTGCTTTGGCTTGCGCTTCTCGCCACATGTCCGGCCATCGCTCACAACTGGGGTAGGCTCGATCTACGTACCCACCATCATGTCAGAGTCGTCGTGATCTCCAATCGGCGTCTGGTCTGCTGCTGATGTCCCTCGGAGGAGGAGGGGGAGGAGGAGGGAGGGAGGGAAGAGGAGGAGGAGGAGGAGGAGGAGGAGGAGGAGGAGGAGGAGGAGGAGGAGGGCCCCGTGGCCGTCGTCGGCTCGGTCGGTCTGGCCGTGCCGCCGTCGGCTGCGCCGCCGTCGGCTGCGCCGCCGTCGGCTGTGCCGTCACGCCGCCGCGGCTGTTCGCTCCGCTGTTCCGTGCCGCGTTCCTGGGGAGATCCGCAGCTCCGAACAAGCATTGGGGCGGCCTGTTTCTGGTAATTTTCGGCTTCTGGATTCCCTCAAAGGGGCCTGGGACCATCGAAAACGACTCTAGAAGAAAAACAGGTCAGAGGGAAATTGCCCAGATCATCTCGGGGAGTCCAAGCATCGAAAGAGTTGGCGCGTTGGCTATCTGGGTTCGCTCGATTCGGTCTCGGTTTCGCTATCAGCTTTCTCGGCTTTGGTTTGGGTGTCGTCGTGGATGGCCTTGGGCCCGGGGAATGGGCCCGCCTAGGCTCGGAGATGCGGTATACCGCCACGGGAGAGCGGGTCCTCAGGGCAAGGAACCTTGGGTCCTCCCTTCCCAGTGTTCGGCCTCTTCGGGCGGCTTCCCGAGCTCTGAGGCCGTCCAAGAGCGCGATATATCTGGGAGGAAGGAGCCGGTGTTGGGAAGAGGGGAGGAGGGGGAGGAGGAGGAAAAGGAGGAGGAGGAGGAGGAGGAGGAGGAGGAGGAGGAGGAGGAGGAGGAGGAGGAGGAGGAGTGAGGAGGAGGAGAAGGAGGAGGAGGAGAAGGAGCCCCATGGTCCTGGCGACCCGTGTCCCTCCCAAGCCCTTTGTTCTCTTGCCTGAATTAACGGTTGGTGCCCTCCTGCTGCATGGTGTGCCATCGCAAAGGTTCGTTGGCCACCCCATGACGCCCCGAATTTGGGACTGCGTTGGGGCCGTTGGCGCGTTAGCGCGCGCGCCAGTCTGAATTCTGGCCGCGGCGTCGGCGCTCGGTGAAAGCGGTGAGTCTGAGATGAGGAGGAGGAAGAGGAGGAGGAGGATGAGAAGGACGAGCAGGAGGAGGAGGAGGAGGAGGAGGAGGAGGAGGAGGGGGAGGAGGAGGAGGAGGAGGAGGCGAAGGAGGAGGAGGAGGAGGTGGAGGAGGAGGAGGCGGAGGAGGAGGAGGAGGAGGAGGAGGAGGAGAAGGATGAGGAGGAGGAGGAGGTGGAGGGAGGGAGAGATGGAGGGAGGGAGGGAGGGATGGATGGAGGAGGAGGAGGAGGGGGAGAAGGAGGAGGGGGAGGAGGAGGGGGAGAATAATGAGGACCAGTGTAAACACAAGACTCATCAACGATGCTGGAATCGACCCACCCTCCAAGCTCCCTTTTCACTGGCCCCTACAAGGATCCAGTTCCACTCACTCAGGGAAGTGCCCCGTCGGAAGACAGCCGTTGGAAAATCCTGAAGCGTGCCAAAACACCGTTCTCGGAACTTCAACGCCATGGAATCAATTTGACTGTTGCGTCTTGACGGTCCCGAAGTGTGCCAGAGCACCATTCCTGGGACTTCAGTGCCGTGAAACGACGTAATTGTTGTGCCCTCGCAACCCAGAGATGTTCCGAAACACAACTTCTGGCTTGTTTATTATGGGAACCCATGAAACTCTTACAACTTCTCAAGACGAATGTGCGCGGCCTTGCGGCGAGTGCCACATTTTGAAAAGGAACCGTCCTCCATCCGTGAAGGTGTTGCAACATTTGAATTAGCGCAGCGCTAAGGCGGGAGCCACATTTTGGAAGTGACCCGCCCTCCATCCGTGAAGCTCTTGCTCATTTTGAAGACGAATGTGCGCGGCGCTAAGTTGAGAGCCACATTTTGGAAGCGGCCCGCCCTCAAGTCGTGAAGCCCCTGCAGTTTGTTAAGACGATTGAATGTGTGCGGCGCTGAGGCGAGAGCCACATTTTGGAAGCGACCCTACCTCCACCCGTGAAGCTCCTGCATTTTCAAAATAATGTGCGCGGCGCTAGCGCGAGAGCCACGTTTTGGAAGCGGCCCGAGCTTCAGGATCATACCGGGTGCGGAAGTTTTAGGCGAAATGCTCGGCCTGCCTTTACGATTGGCCTCTGGGTGTGACATAAGGCCAAGGAGTGGAGGATGAGGGGGAGAAGGAGGAGGAGGAGGAGGAGGAGGAGGACGATGATGATGATGATGATGATGATGATGATGATGATGATGATGATGCTGAAGATGCTGATGATGATGATGATGCTGCTGCTGCTGCTTATGATGATGATGCTGATGATGAGGAGGAGGAGGTGGGGGATGAGGGAGATGAGGGGGAGGAGGGGGATGATGGAGGAGGAGGAGGAGGAAGAGATGGATGCTGAGGAGGAGGATGAGGATGAGGATGAGGAAGAGAGGGCGGAGGAGGAGGAGGCGGAGGTGGAGGATGATGCGGATGAGTCTGATGATAATGATGGTGGTGATGATGACGATGATGATTATGCTGCTGCTGATCACGATACTGATGCTGGTGATGAAGATGATGAAGGTGGTGGTGGTGGTTTTGGTGGTGATGATAATGACGATGCTGATGATGGCGATGATAGTGGTTCTGCTGATGGCGCTGCTTATGCTATGATGATGATGGTGATGGTGGTGATGGTGGTGGTGACGATGATAACCATGTTGCTGCTGCTGCTGCTGCATATTATGGCGGTTGTGATGATAAGGATGATGATGATGCTGCTGATGATGATGATGATTAGGATGATGATACTGATGATGCTGCTGATGATAATGCTGAGGGTGATGATGATGCTGATGAAGATGATGATGCTGATGAAGATGATGATGCTGATGGTGATGATGATGCTGCTGATGATGCTGATGATGATGACGATGCTGATGACGATGATGTTGCTGCTGATGATGATGATGCTGCTGATGAGGATGATGATGCTGCTTATGATGATTATTATGATGATGATGAGCTGCTCTGATGATGATGATGGGTGTGGTGGTGGTGATGGTGATGCTGCTGATTATGTTGATGTTGATGTTGTTGTTGCTGATGATGATGATGATGATGATGATGATGATGATGACGATTATGATGATGATGATGATGATGATGATGATGATGCTGATGATGATGATGACCATGATGATGATTGTGATGATGATGATGAGGAGGAGGATGAGGATGATGCTGATGCTGATGATGATGATGCTGATGATGCTGATGATGATGATGATGCTGATGAGGATGATGCTGATGATGATGATGATGCTGCTGCGGCTGATGATGATGATGATGATGATGATGATGATGATGATGATGATGATGATGATGATGATGATGATGCTGATGCTGATGCTGATGATGATGATGATGATGATGATGATGATGATGATGATGATGATGATGATGATGATGATGATGATGATGATGATGATGATGATGATGATGATGATGATGATGATGATGATGATGATGATGATGATGATGATGAGTCCGGAGGCAGAGGAGGAGGAGGGAGGAGGAGGAGGAGAGGAGGAGGAGGAGGAGGGAAGAGGGGGAGGGGGAGGAGGAGGAGGAGAGGAGGAGGAGGAGGAGGAGGAGGAGGAGGAGGAGGAGGAGGAGGAGGAGGAGGAGGAGGAGGAGGGAGGAGGAGGAGGAGGAGGAGGAGAGGAGGAGGAGGAGGAGGAGGAGGATGAGGAGGAGGGAGGAGGGGAGGAGGAGGGAGGAGGGGGAGGGGGAGGAGGAGGAGAGGAGGAGGAGGAGGAGGAGGAGAGGAGGAGGAGGAGGAGGAGGAGGGCAGGAGGGGAGGAGGAGTAGAAGAGGAGGAGGAGGAGGAGGAGGAGGAGGAGGAGGAGGAGGAGGAGGATGCAAGGGGGGCGAAGGGCACCACTAGGAGAGGGCGCGGTGGCGGAAGGGCGAACGGACGATTGGGGGCGATGGCGGTGGGGGACGGGGAAGGCGGGGGGACAGATGCAGCAGGAGGACGAGCAGCACCAGGAGAACCTTGAGGAGGAACGACTTCTCCCCCTGTCACGAGCCATCGGGCAAGACGGGGGGCGCGGGAGGGTGAGCATCACGAGGACAATGTGGAGGAAGAAGAGAAAGAGGACGAGGATGCAGCAGGACGGACAGCACAAGGGGTGAGGAGGAGGAGGAGGAGGAGGAGGAGGAGGAGGAGGAGGAGGAAGAAAGGGGGAGGAAGGAGGAAGGAGGAAGAGGAACCAAGAAGGAGGAGGAGGATGAGGAGGAGAAGGAGGAGGAGGAAGATGAGGAGCAACTTGTGTGGGTCTGATTTCCACTGCCCCCTTCCCTCGCCTCCCTGCCACTTATCTCGTCTCGTCTTTTCTCCTCTCCTCCTCGCCTCTTCTCCTCTCTCCTCCTCTGCTCCTTCTCTCCTCTCCTTGCCTTTCCTCGGCCTGGTGAGACTCCACCTCCCCGCCTCGTCGAAGCGCATTCGGCTCTAGCGCTCAGGGTAGCACGCACAGTCGATCTGCTCCTGTTCTCGCTGGGGCTGGCAGGACTCCGCCTGGTCGCCGACCCAGGGCCCAGAGCCTTTTCTGCTCCTCTCGTCGGCGCGCCGGAGGGGGTTGGCATAGGTCGGCGACTAGAAATTGTGTGGTTACGCCAGGGTGTGGTTTGCGATCGGCGCCGTTGGGGCTCGGGGGGGTGCGACGCTGTCCTCGTTGGGCCTCCTCGGGGCGCGGCGGAGAACTCGATGCATCGAGGTTCCCGCCCGCCCCCCAGGGTGCGCCTCTGGGGTGCTGGTCGCAAGCAACACCCTTTGTAAACCACACCCTCTGGAACCGCCGAAGGCACGCCTTGCTGCTTCAAGAGTCGAGCGGGTGTCCCTCTTCCTTCCGCTCCAGGTGGCGGGCGGAAGCTCAAGCAGTCTCCAGCGCCTTCCAA